AGGAGCAGCAGGATAAACCGATCTCAGCAGCGTTTGGGAGTGTCATGATTGATGGACGCTTAATCATTTCTTTTATGCAGGTCAAATATTCACCACCCTAAAATGTCTGCATATCTCAAGCATTTTGCGGTTTTTCCAGTTTTCTGATCATCATTTTTATTTTCTTTAACATAAAATGTTTCCAGGACCCAACAGCTGGTGCTTGCTGGCTGAAGGAATGAACAGGAAGACAATGTGTTCACAGGATTATAGAACAGGCTGAGAGGGAGAATTTATGCAGAGTTTTATAAGCTTAGTCAGGCAGAAAATAGATTGGGGTGCACAGAGGAAATAATGTGTCATTCAAAGCTCAACTTACAGACATAGCTTCCTTAAGGTAGAAGCAGCTACCGGCTGCCCCAGCACCAGCAACTTCGCAAGTTACCTTGAAGGTGGGCAAAACAGCAGCAGCAGTCTGCTCAGAGGTCTTACTTTCCAATGGTTTTTATCGTTTGCCTGTCACAATCAATCAAATCACAACCCTCACTCCCTACCACCACCCCCATGCCCGAGACACTCAAAAAATAAAATTTGTTGTACTGACCAACACTGGAACAATATGATAACTGAGAAATGATAAAGAGAAGTAGCTTATTTTTAAGGAAGATGAGGAACACCCCACAATCAGTGTGACTGGCCCCTGAAGCCTCTTTTAAGAGCTCTGATTTCTAGCAAGCCCCCAGGCAGTCATAACTTCACCTTCTTTTAATGAGCTCCCATTTGTCTCTTGTGATTCATCTAAGTGCTCCATAGGTACCTAGGTTGTGCAATGTATCTCATGCCCCTAATAACAGACTTCTCTAGTTAGTTGGCTGGAAACAACTATCATGTTTCTTTAGCGTCATTTTTTTGAGTGGTTTTGCTTATTAGCTTCTGTCATCAAGAAACTTCGCTTAATTCATTGGTTTCTACTTTGTTAATTATTGTGATTCCTTTTCATTCGTACAACTGTTATCTTAGATACTTAGCAAATGTATAAATGGTGCTGTCTTGGTGCTTATTAATAAGCTATCATGGCAATATATTCAAAATAACTGTTTCACTCATATGTACATACTCAAAGATACGTACTATTCTTCTAAAAGGTGATTGGCTCTCAGTAAAACAGGACAAAAGCAGCAGAGATGAAGATGGGAAAAAAAAAATGTTTTAAGAAGCAATTAATGCATAGTCTCCCTCATGGAAAATGACGTAATTTCTAGTGTGGTCAGTTTGTAATGACTCAATAGCTCCTGATAAATTCCAAGTTACGATCTACTTTTCTAATGTGCAACATTTAACTGTGTCATTATTAGTAAGATAATCACTTTTTACACTTGGTCGTCTCCTGGAAGAGACAGATAAGCCTAAACTAGTTAGTGTTTAAAAAAATAAGCAAAGAACCAGAGGCACCAAAGGTTTGTGCACTACTGGCAGGCAGTGAGAAATCACTTATCACCCAGTTTACTGTGAAAGTGTCCTCAATGGCACTGGGCCAAGCTAATGTTTAGATTCTTGTGGAAGATTAACCTGGGCCATTTGCAGGGGTCAGTGACATCTGTCCTTGGCCACCATCTGTATATGTGTTCTTTTTCCAAACAAACAAAGCCCAGAGAAAAGATAAATTAATAAATCCTGTGGTGACTTGTTGGATATTTTCAGATGGTATTTACCCTTAGCAACAGTTTCCTGCCATTCCTTAGCAACTCCAGCCTAAATTTTATTTTCTACCTAAAACAGACTGAAAGCTCACGTTGTCATATTAAAAACACTTTTTTAACTTCATTGTTCTTTGCGCCCCTTTGAGGTACACAGTTATACCATGGACACATCAGACTTCCTAGGAAATATATTAGCTCTTACTTAAATTAAATAATGATTCTATGCTGAAAGTCTATCATTGAAGCTTTAGTCTTTCTCCTTGTTCATCTTCCTTTTAACTTCTCTGTAATTGAGAATGAGACCATTTTTCTTTCAAGGGTGGCACGTCATGTTCTGCCTGAGATATTTAGTAAAAATGAACTATTTCTTGGCATTATTACCTTTATAGAACTCAAGGAGAGAAACAGAAATCATGTGACTCTAGGGTCATCATGATAATGAAATCCAAGAAAACTATTGAACTCAGGATCGTTTACCAGTGGTGACAGTTAGCCGCTGGTGGATGCCATTGGCTAACAAATATGCTTTTGGAATTCTTTAATATGGATTGATATAAGTAACATCAAGTCTGAAAAATAACCCACAGTTAATATAGGGCAAGTTGTTCATCAAAACTTCTCAAAGGAGAGAAGTACTAAGTAAGCTTCCCAATAGCACAGGAAGCTGCCAGAGATTTCTGGTGCTGGGATGCTGATATGCTTGAGGTTTCTGTGTCTTAGTTGTGAACCACAGAAAACAGCTCTATTAAACAAAGGGACAATTTGTTGCAGTTACTGGGAAGTTATAGCATCACCAAAATTACTAGAGAACCAGGCTCAGAAATGTGCAGACATAAGTGAAGATGGTTAACAGTAAGAATCACCTTCAAATTCAAGCTATGACCCCAAACCTATTGCACTGGGGCCATTGCTAGCTGGAGTACTGGATGTCACTTGTCCATGCTTTGCTGCTGCTCATACCCTTGGACTGGATTGTACAGCTGCTATTGCCTCCGAGCTGAAAATTAGAATCACTAACTCCTGACTCAAAGCTGAATCAAGGCTGAGTATAGGTCATGTCCTGTGCCTTAGTTACAAGGGAAGCTGGTGAACTAAGTGTTTGGCATTTTCAACTCATTTGGCAAGTGGGTAGTAGGAAATGGCATATGCCTCCCACTAAGGTACATTATATTACCTAAAAAAGAAGGGAGGTAGAGATCCTGAGAAGGCCAAAAAGTGTTAAATACCAGGTACATTCTCTAGGGGCAAAGAAAGGCTTCAGTGACCTAAGACTATCATCTGGAGCCTACAGTTTTGACTACCCAGCTCACCCTTCCTCTTACGGTAACATTATCCTCATTTCCCCATGGGGCCTGCACCATTCATCCTCCTGACATGAGCCTGAAGTGAGCGTCAGTGTTACTAACCTGCTGTCTCTGCTACATGATTCCAGTTAGAGTCATCCGAGGTCCACCTCTCAACCAGTGGCCAATCATGGATCATTTGATCTTACTCTAACCCTTCCACATTTTCCCTTAGAATTTCCCTTCTTAAAAGTGATAGGAAGGAGTTCTTTTTTCCTCTTTAGTTATAAGGTGGTAAGATGGAGTCTGGAGTTAAATTTCAGATTTCAGACTCCCAGAGACAACCAGCCTGAGAGCAAAGATAAGCAATGTAAGAAGAAAAAATCCCTTTGGTGCTTGAGTGTCCAGGTTTACTTCTGTGTCACCAGAACCATGTCTCATTTGGTTATTTGAATCAATAAAATCTACCTTTTATGTTCAATCCAGTAGAAATTGGATTTCTGTCACATCAACTGCCTTCTAAGAAAACTATTGTCACTTTTCTACTAAGATTAAGGAGACCTAAGATAACTTCTTGCATTTTAGAGACTTCTTGTTGAAATATTTCTAATGGAAATATAAACTTATTTTTCCTTGAAAAGGTCAATACACTTGCAATTAACTCTTACAGTAGGAGTTTAACTTGGATGTAGGAGTGCTGGCTGTTCCTACTCTGCTAACAATAGGTCCTGTGGCCTTGATTTCATAATTTAACCTTTCTAAGGTTTATGTAATGCACTTCTATAATGGCTGAATAGATGGTCTCAGAGGTGCCTTTGAGTTTTAACTTTCTGTGACTAGAATTTTCCAAAGAACTTGTAGCTGTCTGTGTATTTATTAATTTGGTTTCATGACTCCTTGGGGTTTAGTGCTATCTCCATATTTAATAAAATAAAGGGAGAAACTAGCAAAAGCCATTCTTTATGGTTCTGAGTTTCATCTTGAATATTTCCATATATATTTTCATTTATAATCTATTTACTTAAAATCCTATCTTATATCAATATGATACTATGGCAAATACTTTTATGAAACACCCGCTGTCTCCATGGCAGTAATTTAAATGACATTGAGGTACCCTTTGGCATCTTAGAGTTTTCAATCTAGGTACATTAAACTGAAGTACACTCAGGTAGAACATTTGCAAATCAAAATTAGGGCACAAGCCTTTGTGTGAGAGGTTGGGTCCCACACTATTCCTAAAGGCTGCTCTCCTTTAGAACTGAAAAAATAATAACCAAAAGCTTTTCAGAGTTTCTGAACTCCTAAAGAATGGGTCTCAGCAAGCAACATTAACTGTAAGTTTACAGTCTATTTTATGTAGAAATTTCTTTTAGTTTGGCTTGAAGGGAACATTTAATTCTTTTCACTGTTTTATGTTCAACAGATATTATGACTGTGATTATACTAATGTTATAGATAACCTTCCATTCTGTTCAGTTTTTAGAAATTCTAAAATATGTTCTTGCTACAATAAATTCAAAGCACAACATTTAAATCACTTCAAGTACAAAACTAGTTTTGAAAAAAAAAATTCTCAGGAATTGTTACTTATGAACATCAGGCCTTGCTGGCATCAATTTCTTTAGGCAAGAGCATGGTTGAATATGTAAAGTAGCTGGATAAGATTCCATGCTCTAGTATAAATGTTCAGGATTTGTTTTAAAATTTTATACCTATAAAATCTCTAGGATTTTCTAACTTAATCTGTGTTTATTAAAGAACAACAGTACACCTTGATGGAAGGACGAGAACAAGACATATGGTGTTGCTTTCTTAAGCCTAGCTTCAGAAGACTCTGTCAGGCAGTATAAGTCATGTGAAAATACCATAGAGTGAAAGTATTCAAGTCTGAGCACCTGGTTTCAAATCCTGGCTTTGCTAACAAATTAATGTGGCCTTATCCTTCCAAGCCTCCAATTATACATCTGTGAAAATATACACTTCAGTTTCTTGTGTGGGCTTGTAAAGATTAAATGGCATTACATAGGAAGAACACCTGTGAGTCTGGCACAGAGTAGATGTTCAATAAATGTTAGTTTTCTTTCTTCTTTCCTGATTTTCAGCTTCCTCATCTGTAAAGTTTGAATTGAAAAATAGCCATGAGAAAGAAAAGATGCACCAAAAATTACAAAATTATCCACAGAAGATGGGCTGACCACCAAATAGACGCAGGTGGCTATAGCTTGGAGGTAGACAACAAGTCAGCCCACCAGCTTTGAGCTGAGCTCTGTAGACAACAGTTTACCCAGAGGGTCTACCATTACACATGAAAAGACAGATATTGCTATTACTATTCTTCAAGTTCTTTCTCTCCCAGTACAAAGTATGCAAAGGAAAAATCAAACATCAAATCAAAGATTGCTTGGTAAGCATGAAATCAAGGCAAGTTGGCTAAGTTATCAAGGGTCAGCAGCTATTTTCTATAAAGTGCCAGTTCGTAAATAGTTTTGGCTTTACAGGACCATAAAATTTCAGTCGCAACTGTGACCACTCAGTTCTGTTGTTTTTACCAGAAATTAGCCATTGACAACACGTTATAAATAGCTGAGTTCTGAAACATGTTACTTACAAGCAGGCTAGTAAGCTAGATTGGACCTTGCGAGTACAAGGAGAGAGTTACCAAGACAATCCTTTTAGGTGTCTCTGCACCAGATTCTGCAGGATTAGAAGTGCAGAGTAGACTTGATACCTGGGCCTGGAACTAATAAAGCCCATCCCTTATGTGAAGTAGGGTTTCATTCACTACTCATGTTTATTGTCAGCAGCTTTGCTAACTAACACTCCCTCTGGTGGATACATTCTCTCCATCTGTGTAAATAACTTCAAATCTGTTCCAAGGTAGTTCTTAGCTTAAGAGTTATTCGACCTATTTAATGTAGAGCTTTGAATAGCTCTATACTTATCTAGCTCATTGCCTAGAATTTGCATAGCTGTGCTTGGATTCTTTGCATTTATTTTATTGTTTAACTCAAAAAGCAGTCTTACCTGACTTTCTTATTTTCTACTTTATTATTTTGAGGAAGGTTGGCTCTTCTTCCGATCATCTTCCTGTACTGTTTATACTACATATGCGTTATGTAACAAAGCTTCCTAAAGTATATGGCACCCACTTTCTGAAAGGGAATTTTTTTTAAATACAAGTAATATATATATATGTACACACACACACACACACACATATATATATATATATATATATATATATTTAGTACACACAATGAGTCCTATTTAAAGACTTGTAATTGTTTTGTACATGTTCAGTTCTATTAACATTTAACGTTTTTATTTGCGAGTGCTCAAAAGTAGAGTGGAAGAGAATTTGCTGAAGAAATTAAAAAGAATATGACTGGGCATAAGGAAAATAGATGGACCAGCCAGCCAAGATCAGGCTCTTCCGTGGTCAGAATCCAGATGGTAGTCTCCACTGCGCCACAGGCTGTCGTGTATACACAGCTTTTTCACTTTCTGCCTGTCTTTCCACTGATACTCTTTTTCTGTTCTCTCATTCACCCTATCTCCTATGATTTTTTGGATATAATACGTGCTCTAGAGGATTTTATATCTAGAAAAGGACCAGGGAATAAGAATGAAAAAAAATAAAGGGGAAAGATAGATAGATGATGCATGGATAGCATTTTCTATAATTTCCCAACTTTTAACATATTTTATTAAATTTATTACTTTTAATATAATTTATTATTATTAATCATCTATCCAATTCTGTGAATTTACTCACATTTTATAAATGATGAAACTAAGACCCAGTAAAGATAGATGATCTTCCCAAAGTTACAAAGTTTAAACCAGACACAAAACCATACATGCCTGCCTCTAAAGTACGTCCTTGAGTTGTCAGCCAGCCATCAATACTGGCTTTCATTGTGCTCCTAGGAGTACAGAAATGAGATCTAAGTATTTGACCCTAGTAGGAAGCAGACTTGCTCCACTCTTCCTAGTTTATTAAATGCTAATTCTCCAGTGATCTTTGGATTTCCCGGTGGCCATTTTTGCTAGTCAGCTTCCGTCTATCACCTGCTAACTCTTTTAAAGAAGGTAAAGACAAACAATCATTTTTTTTAAAGATTTATTTATGCATACAAGAACTGGGTTACAGGTGAGAGGTGTGGGAAGTAAGAGGATTCACCAGAGACAGAGTGGGGAACACAGCAGACAGATCTACTGAAATACATTGCTGAGGGGAGCATGGGATGAGACCGGAGAAGTCTGCTGCACCATGTGGGTAGCTCCCTGGCCGGGTATCGAAATTGTGCTACAGTGGCTGCAGATAGCTTCATAGGTTACATCTTAACCCCTTGTGCTACCAGGAAGGCCCCAAACAGTATCATTTTAAGGGTATTTTTGTTTTATTCCCATAATTATGAAATAAAATTGTTGCCAGCTAAGGAAATCTCAGAGTTCAGTGGGCAGTTGGGAGAGCAGGGAAACCTCTCCAGAATTCTGAAGTTGTATCATACATGTATGAACTACCCCTGCCATCTACAATATTTATCAAACTTAGTGCTTCTGAAATACTCTTCCAAGGGAAGCTAATCTTAAGGGTTGAATCATTAAGATAAAGCAAACTAAAACACTACTATAAACATATTCACTTTTCAATTTTTCATCCTTTTTTTGTCCCTCCTCATTCTCTCTACGGGATGAAAACACACACACATATACATTTACAAGCTGAGGGCATTTTAGCAAATATATTTCATTTTCTCTGTACTTCAATTTCCTCATCTATAAAATGAAGTTGTGCTAAATAGCCTCCAAGATTCTTTCCAACTCTAACAGTCCAAATTTTTTTTTTTTATTCCTGAGATACACATTGTTAGGTTCTCTAGTTTGGACATGGCCTAGATTTAAAGTCAGATACAAGGCACAGGATGAATTACTTCCTGGTATTAATTGGTTTGTTAAAGGCCTTACCATTGTGTAGATGATATTTTATTTTTAACCCAGTACACAATCTTGCAGATTGCACTGTGGGAACATAAGTGCATTAGTGTTCAAATCAATTTAACTTTCATTTTCAAAGACAATTGGAAGCATCCCAGTTCTTTGAACTATGAGAAAATACCTAATGGCTGAAGTTGTTGTTGTAGACTGTGTTCTATGTTTTAATCTTGTCAAAACTTGGACAGACTCGACCAAGAGGCATGGATGGAATTTATCGACAGAGTTGGAGGTGTATTTGTAGGGGAGTAAGTAAGGGGAATGAAATGGGAATTAATAGGAGATGAGGAAGGGCAAATATTAAATAGAACTTTATTTTTTTTAAAGATTTATTTATTTATACAAGCACTGGGTACAGTCAGAAGCACGGAAGGGTGAGCGAATTCACCAGAGCTAGAGCAGGGAACAGAACAGGCAGACTGATGAAATATACACTGCTGAGGGGAGCAGCAGGCGTGGCAAGAGAGGTCTGTTGTGCCATGTGGGACCCTTGCCGGTGGCCAGGGATTGAACCGAAGCTGGAGAGGCTGTGGGCAGCTTCGCAGCCCAGCGCTCAACTGCTGTGCCACGAGGGGAGGCCCTTAAATAGAACTTTAATTCAGTATATTCTGTGCTAAGCCTAGGGATATAAAGAAAATGAGCCACTTTAGAATTTTCATCAAGTGTTTGTCTAAGCTATACTCCCTCCCTGAAAGAGTTCCCAGAACTCTCATACCCAGTTTCCCCTATTATTAACATCTAACATTTAATTATGTTGCAATTAATAAATTACTATGAATATATTATTAACTAAAATCTATACTTCATTCAGATGTCCCTAGTTTTTTACCTGATGTTCTTTTCTCTATTCCAGAATCCCATCCAGGATACCATATTAAATTTAGCAGTCATATCATCGTAGTGTCTTCTTTAGTATATGCTTAATTTTTTTAATAATTATTTTCCTTTATCTCAATATCTTCATTTATTTTGTATAAGCTATCTTAAGTTCTTTATTTTCCAGAACATTAATTATTTACTATAATGTTTATATAAGTTTCTCAATAGTCCCATTCTCCATACAAACTGCCAAGCAGTTATTAATTTCTGGAAATCTTGCAAATAATGAGAACTACTCTAGCCAGAGGCCGATGATAATTTATGGTTAGTGAATAAGGATTTTCTTTGGATGGCAGAAGGGAAATAATCTTTATTAGTGAGTCAGTCAGTTGAAACTCTTAAATATTACCCAGTTGAAGAATATCCTAATTAAGATTCACATGAGGTAGGCATATTTGTTGAATGTTTATAGATACACAAAGAAATAGTTAAGAAAATTAGCATTTAAGCTGTCATCATTAGTCTTCAAAAATCTCACCTCCCTCAGAAGAGTAAGGATGATTCACACTTTCTCAGTGCTTCCCATTCAATCTGTTCAACGGATTTATTAAACTAGGTACAAAATTGGGCTTGCATCTAGTTCGGATATAAGGGCCAGGAACTCCAGTGCTGTCTATTCTCAATTCAATAATAAAAGCCCTGGCAGCTTCTGAATGAAATATCCTAGACAGATGCAGATTATTGTCTAATATGGAGCACAGCACAGTCAGGTTGATGTGAATTCCTGCAGGCCATCCTTTATCTCCATAGGCATCAGATATCTTTTAGACTGACAAACAAGATAGTCTGCTTAGCAAGTTTTAGGGAAATATAATTAAAAAACAAAAAATTATTCTCCCAACTCAGAAATCATCTTCACAAAGTAGATAGAGAAAACACCGTTATAATTGAAATAAACATTGAGCCAGAATATGATATGCATACAGACAAGCCACTGAGATTACAGAGACGGAAAAAAATCTCACGAATTGATACAGCCAAACAGATACATCCCACGGCATATATGTTTTAGGAGTAGCAATGACTGCATTGCAAGTAAGAGGACTTAATAGTATCATTGGTTACACTTCACTGAAATACTACCTATCATTTGGCTGAGCATGCATGTTCATTTGAGTGTATCCAGGATGGGTGGAGGGAAAAAACAAAAACCTTATATCTTTATGAGAGGAAAGAGTTTTACAATTTGATGTTTACTTTGTGTCTTTGAAATGTATCTTTCAAAATACCAAAA